TCGCATAGACATGTGTTAGCATGCTGATGGGGTTAACAACAGACACGGAGTGTGTAATTTATCTGCGGGTTTGTCCTTGCGTGGACTTCAAAGAAACCTGACAGAATTTTGATTACGTTAAAGAGTATAACGCAGCCGTAGCGTGGTTACCTTCAAGGATTTTAAAGAAACCATACTTAAGATTCTTTTTGTAATAGATTAGTTCTATTAGATTGCAGCAAGTACCGGTTTCAGTATTTACATTAAATCAATTATATTGCCCAATTAAATTAGTTGCAGTACTTTCGTTGCAAGAAGTTCAAATAAATCTGGATAATTTTGAGTAGCTAGGGGGTATAATATAGCTGCAGTGTGGTTCTTCCTTCAAAGAAACCTGCAGAATGTTAGGTACACTAGGGATTCAGTTTATTCCTGTTGGGGTAATGCAAGTCATGTTGTACTATCATTATCGTAAATTAAGTCACATACTCCTGAGGTAGAGGAAGGGGATATAGAATTTTAAACAATCAGTACTGTGGCATTATTCTGTTTAACAATAACAACACTTGGCAAGTTGATTGGCCGAGCGGTTAAGTCAGGGGCAACGTAACCTTCAGCTCTAATATGGGCGCTGGTTCGAACGGCTCACTCGCCAATGGTTCCGGTGGTGGAACAAGTCTTCTTGGATAAGGACTTTAAACCGTCAGCCAAGTGTACGCTTTTGGCTCATGTGCACTTTAAGAAAACAAGTACATATTTCGAAATGAGTAGGGGGTTACCCCGGTGTACTGGTCCATTAAGTCTCCTGTTGTTAAATGGATATGCCACGTGGGAAAGTGATTAAGTTCACTTATTGGCATATCCTTGGCGCTCATGCATAGAGAAATGAAATGAAATGAAACAAAACCAACAATGTGTATAAACCATAGGGGTTGCTATTAGATGCAGATACAGATACAAATAACATTTATTTCATCCTTTTCATAGGAAATTTACATGGTTGAAAAGATGTTTCTCATTCTCAAAGACATGATACAAATATTTTTTTATTTTTTAATAAAAGTTAAATTTTAATTTCAATAATTCTATGTGCCTGTCTTTAAAGATTTGCATTAAAGTTCCCAATTCCTCTAAGAATAAACGAATCACAATAGCAGTAGTGCGTACCCTTGCCGACTGCATTCTACCACTCCATTCAATAAAAGCAGCTATAATTACAGAGTGGAGAGGATGATAACGATCTTTTAGAATCCTTTCAAACTTTATTGCCACCTTGTCACAGTCGGAAGAAGGGAGGTGGATTTTTCACTTAGGAACCTGAGAGTGGGAATATGTGTGTCGTATTTATTCCAAATAGAGTAGGATCATATACTGTTTGTAATATTCAGTATTAACACCCATTGACATAGTTACATCTTAAGATTTTCTCAAAGAATTTCATCTGAAATTATTGAATTTCATCTGGCTTTAACAATAATGAATACGGTACTTGATCAAGGCTACCGAAACTAATAACTGAAAAAAATAACTGGTAAAAGTTCAGCTTTAATCATTACCTTATTCATTGTTAGATGTTAGATGTATTATTAATAATTTATAGGTAGAAAAAAGATAAAGTTCACAATTCACAAAAATTGAGGAACTTGAAATATAGTATGAATGCATAGTAATTGCGTAGTTGTGCATGTGTTTGCATAACATTTTATAGTGTTAAAAATATGCATTGTGTGTGTACACACATGGTCTATGCTATGTGTGTGTAACATATATCCATAAAAAATATAAACTAGGTTGTACAATTAACCCCAACATGGATAAACTAGAACGTCTTTATTTTAGTAAATCATTGTCTCATCACACTTCCTTTGATGTTTTTTTTGGAAATTATGTAAATTTTCTACTTTCTTCTCGTCATGGGAATACCTTTTATTGCAATATTAAACTAGACATGTGCTGAATACGCGTTAAATTTTAGAAGTTGATGTGTTTAGAAAGTTAGGTATTGTCTGTATCAATTGTCTTTTATTCAAAGAAATAAAAAAATTAAAAAGAACCCTACATTGTAAAATGGATTTTGGTAGGCTCTCTATATTAATGATTTTTTTTTATTATGAGTTTAAAATTTACTTCTATTTTCCTTTTTGTAAACTCTGGAAAAAACCCCCTATTACGGTACTTTATACTATCCATTCATATCATTCTAGGTGTGCTTTTAACATTGATTATAAGGCAATTAAAGGGATGCCAAGAATATACGAGTAGTTATGTTTATGCCTCTACTAAAGTCACAGTGTGCATGCGCAAAAATGGGTACTCTGGCCCTCTGATGTTTAGTCCCTAGGAAAGATTCTTTTTATTCCTTGTTTTGCGTACTTTTTTAAAGATTATCAGAGGAGGGGGGGGGGGGAATAAAAATAAAATATTGTTTTCTTATTTAGCAAATAGTTTTGCCAAAAACATCCAGACGGAGGAGAAAATAAAAATAAATTTTTTTAGTGAATGTAAAATAGGATGGTTTAAATGCTTCAAATTTATATAATTAAGAAGAAATATACATATCTATCTGTGGAGATTTCAAGGCAGCGGAGGGCGTAATAAAATAAAGAAAAATTTTGTTTTTTTCTAAAATTTCCACTTTTTTTGTGGCGGCATGTGCGCTAATTGGCCAATATAAAATTTTTATTTGAAATTATCAAAATTTGTAATCGGCAGGTTCGCTAAACAAAGTATAAAAAAGTCACGCCTGTGCAAGAAGACTTTGTTCTACCAACCAAACCATGATCGAAGAGGGTATCAGTGCAATGTCAATGTTAAAAATAAAGGTTGCAGCATCCCTGCCTTAATGCTTTAACCACTCTTTCTATAGCACATAATCAATCGATCAACTTATAAAAAGGATCGTCACGGCGTGCATAATGCTGATGCTATCTTCACATTGTGTCCTTGAGCGAGGCACTTTACTTATGTCCTATCTCTCCGCCCTCAAGATTACAGGTTCTGTGACAGTAGGTGTGAATACCAATGCTCTCAATACTGCAGCAGTGGCAGCAACATTCAGCCCGCCTCCAGGCACGATCTTTTATAAATAATGTAAATAATAATAATCTCATACATGCTGAAACCTTGGCATTATGTTTTTTTTTTTATGTTCTTTTAATATGCACTTGTATCGGCATTTACATACACAGGACTAATTGTTTGTGTTATGCTGAACATTTATATAGCGTATTCCTTTCGGCTACGAAGCGCTTTTTCCTTGGTCATTGGATAGAGAATCAATCATACACGATGTGCTCATCCAACTTAATTCCCTGGAGATCATTTCTAATACAACTATTTCAACACTATTAAATTTAATTCCAAATCATTTATATCTATCCACTTAGAAATTTATACTCCTGGATGTAGGGATTCATACATAGACACTCAAGCAACATGACCATCATTGGTCTCGAACATATGACTTCTTAATTGAAGTCCGGGAGCATTACCAATGCACCATTATAGTTCAGTGCTCACAGACAAGATACTAAATAAAAATAAATTATGGAAAATGAGAAATTGAGTATTATCGAAATAGCAAAAATGAAAGTAAAATAAAAGTACAATAATAGTGCAATACACTCATCTTTTAGCCTCATTTCTGATTACAATTGACAAAAAAATGAAATTATGCTTTTTTGGGTTGCTGTTTTCAAACTTTATGAAGTAGTTATAATATGATTAGGTAAAAAAATCCATTATTGATCTCAGTAAATGTTCTTTTTACCTTGGGGAAATATTACATTATAGCTAATTATTGATTACATTTTTTGACTTCCAGGCATGTACATTAATAGTATGACTATATACATTCAGTAAATACAATTTATTTTGGCATACAGTGTAGACAATGAAGCATTTCCTTTTATGCATTGATGTATCATCTTTAAACATTTACTCATTCCATTTTTCATTAGCATCAGTATATTCCAACAAAAGTATAAATTTAAGATGTCATTAACCGGAATTTTTGGCATCAACTGATGCTACAATTCTAGTAGATGTCAAGAAGAGTTAGTCACAGTTCATGGCAGCAGAATACCATAGACAGCAAAAATAATCAAATACTGTTATTGTTGTGTATTTTATTAATATTTTTGATATTTTTATTACTATATTTTATTATGATTATTTTTTTGTTGTAATATTTCCTAATCTCGTTTGAACAAAATGTTGGTGTCCATACTTTTGTTTATTTTGTTATTGTTGTGCAAATTTTTACTTGGCAATGCTGACATTGTGTGCTGCGCTTAGATGAATGGGATGTATGGAATGGAGGAGATATTAATGTCAGGGATATGGATAGAATCTCAATGGGAAGGGTAGAAAGGGATAAATTAGATTTGACATGGATGGGTCAGATGAATAAATACTGTACCATAGTGTTTTTTTTTCTGGTATAAGCCCACGCCCCTTAAACACAAAATTGGGTCAATTTTTGGAGGTGGGATCTTCCCTTCTCCATCAAAAGGTAATTTTTCATCACTGCTTGCCTAGTTCAAAATCTATATTTCATTTTGTTTTTAGTATTTGTAACAGTTAGCTAAGCTACTCATTCAAATTATACCCTGAACGTTTGCCCGAGAAAAGACTGTTACCTAAAATTGGGTGTAATGTACAGTAGGGGTGGGCCTATAGCTGAGGAACTACAGTACATAATTTTTATTCAGGAAAACTTTATTCAAACAGTTCTTTTCAGAACTACATACGTGGTGTACTGCAAGCTTCAACATATCTGCTATTACTTCGCCATGCAAACCTTCAAACAATTTTCATGTTGCTTTTGAATTATTAAAGGGTCTCTGAGCTTTTAACCTAATTTAGGTAAAGAATTCCATTTTATTGCCCCTATAAGCTATTTTTGCTCAGACTAAAAATAATAAATGGTACTACCATGTTGTGTCCTATTTGACAGTTTCACAGGCTTCACAGCTGAAGTCATAAATATAATAATAAATATTATATATATTGCTTTTCAGATGTTGTTGCTTGGAAGTTTTTTATTCGTATTCATGGCTATATATTTTTCTTTGGAGCAAGCTTTTTGCAACGATGAGGAGAAAGACGAATATCAACAAACTTTAGGTGATTCAAAAGAGAATGCAAATAACGACATTGAAAAGGAAATTATTGATCATAATACTAGTGAAACTGCCAGGTTACTTGCAGCGGACTCAGAAACAGAGTTAGCAAATAATTCAATTGATTTGGAAGGTAATAATTATAATTCTGTAAACTCTGGATGCTTGCAAAAGTCATCAGTGCAATCGAAACAAACAATTCCTGAACAACACGATCCAACATTTGGTTGCCCTGTCGGAGACCATCTATGTGCATCGCTGGAAAACTTGTCTGACTATATTCAAGTTAACTCAGGTAGCCACTGCTCTGGTTCAGCAGCGGTACGCGGTAATAGCGATGGAATTTTCAAGAAGTCATCAATACGAGAGTTATCAAATAGGAAGGATGTTTTTGTAGGACGTTCTAACGATTACACAGACTACCGTCATTGGCCAGTTTCCAGTGCGAACTTATTCAATACTGATGAATCTCGTTGTCAGGGAACTTTATGATTTGTAAATAAATAGACCTTATCGAAATTTGTGCAAATGTTTCCAAGTATGAAAACTACTTTAAACAACTCTAGTAATCATTTTCTTTGATTCCATTATTTTTAAGTCTTTTAGCAATTGTTTTAGATTCCAATTTTTTATTTTGTTTAGAATTTCACTTCTAAAACAAATGAAGTGACATTGGTATGTATATAAAAACTTATAAAGGCTTATAGTCAATTCTTTGTGTATTTTCCAATTTTTTTTCTCTACTGTACATTACAAATTGCCATGGCAAAAAAAAAAAAATTTGTGTTCATATGGGTATTAATATGGAGAAATATTGTCTCATGGGTAATTAAGTTGTATTTTATTATGTTATGTTAAAAAATAAGGATGCACAAAGATAAAACGTTGCCGATATAGTGTAAAGGTCGCAAACTCAGCCAGCTTGTAGATCTGTTTGGAAATGGACATCTTCGGTATATTACACTGATGGCACCTTGACCCCAATGTCCGCTGGTTTTATTTCCAATACAGTACATTTGATTGCAATTAGTTGGTTTAAACATCCCCGCATTCTTAATCACTGATTTTCTTTTCTCAACTAGCGTTTCTTGACCAACATAAGGCAATTTTAATTGAAAAAAAAAAACTTCCATTGTATTTAAAAATTGTCTTTCAAAATATGGGTGTTTTTTTTTTAACTTCTTGTATATTTTAGAATTGTGCAAATTAATCTTCTATATGTTTTTAAAAGATGCATCTTAGAATACAATTTTAATTGTTTCCTAACTTAACTAATTATGTTTACAATAAAATATGCATATTGATCATGGATACTTTTCTAAACACCTGTATGGTATGAAAGTTTGAATGTTTGAACTTTCAAATTTGTTCATATCCTATTGTATTTCATTTTTTAAAGATATACTGCCTATGTTAAAGCCAATAAAAAATAAAAATGAAATAAATTCATTATTTGAATATTTTGTATATATTTAACTGAAGTTATTTTTAGATAAAGTTAATTTTTATTATTTTAAATTGAAAAATTTTTAAAAAGAAGTATTTTCTCACCAGTTAAATAATACATAGGCTTAATGTTCATATATTCTTTGTAGAACATTAATGAGACTTATTAATCTATACCTGCAAAAACTGAATGTTTTTTTTTTTTTTTTTTTAAATTCTCTTTAGCATTCAACGTTTTAATTTGATATTATAAC